ATGATATTCTAATTTACTGGCCAGCACCTGTAGATATTGGTCTGTGTGTGTTGGTTTCCTGTATGTGTTTATGTTTAGGGTCCCGTCGGTCTGTCTGGTGATTTTCATATCCATAAATGCTATGCTGCCTTCTGTTTCTGACTCATATGTGAACTTTATGTTGCCTGTGTAACCAATGTTATTTAAGTGTTGTTTTAGTGTTTCTGTTTGTCATTTTGGAATGATTTCCAGTATGTCATCCACGTAGCGTTTCCATAATTTTATTTTGCAGTTTGGGGGGGGCAGTGGCTATGGCTTTTTGTTCTCGGTCTTCCATGAAAAACTCGCACAGGGTGGCTGATAACGGGTTACCCACGGCGAAGCCTCCCAGTTGTCTGTATATTGTGTTGTCGTATGTGAAGAAAGTGGAGTTAGCTACCAGTCCTATCAGTTGTGCTATGTCATCTTCTGTGAGGTTTGTTCTTTTGTGTAAAGTCTTGTCCTGTCTGATTCTGTTAACTACTATGTCTATGGTTTTTTGGGGTTGGTATTTTTGTGAACAGGGATGTGACGACGTGTGAGATGAGTATGTCGTTGTCTTCTATTGTAATCTTTTTTAGTTCTTTTGCCAGTTCTATACTATTTTTGCAGTGTTGAGCTGTGTTCCCTAATAACGGGCTGATGATTTAGCTGATATCTTTTGCCATGTTGAATGTTGGTGTACCTATGCTGTCAACTATTGTTCTAAGTGGGGTGTTTTATTTGTGTATTTTTGGTGTTCCATATATTCTTGGTATTATGTTTGTTGTAAGAATCCAGTGTTTGTACATTTTTTCTGTTATTTTGACATTTTCTTGTAGTGGCTTCAGTAATTTTTTCATATTTTTCTTAATGCTTTCTCTTGGGTCTTTTTAAGTATTTTGTATGTATTTTTGTCCTCTAGCATCTGTTTCACCTGTTGTTTATATTTTTCTCTGTCCATTACCACTGTGGTTCTTCCTTTGTCTGCCGGTAGAATAATTATCTGTTCATTTTTGGATAAAGCTGTCATGGCTGATTGTTCTTCTTTTGTAATATTGCTGTGTTGAATTTGGCTGTTTTTTAATATCCCAACTACATTATTTCTAAGTTCTGCTTTCTTTCCCTCATCTGTGATCTGTTGACATGCTAGTTCTGTTGCTACGAGAAATTCATCGTATTGTATTTTATTTGGTGTGACTGCAAAATTTAAACCTTTTTTTAATGTGCTTTCTTCTGCTTCTGTTAGTTCGTATTGTGAAATGTTACATACCCATGAGCTTTGTGTGGTGTTCTCTTGTTTTTCTTCCCTCTTTTTCTTGTTGATGAGTTAGTTTAACTTCTTTATAAGTCTTTCTTTTACTTTTATGAACTCTTTTTCCTGTTTTTCCATCATGTGTCCTTTAATTAGTTCCTCCGTTTGTTCATCAAGTTTGTAATTCCTTTTTAAGTCCAGGTGTCTTCTTTCCAGTTTGTTTTCCACTTGCTTCTGTTTGGTTATGACGTTTCTTATCCTTTCTTTGAGCAGTGCTCTCTGTGCTCTTTCCATTATGTTCTGTGCTGTCTTGGATTGGTGTTTTCAGCTGTAGGCTTGCTGGTGTGATGTTTTCGTTCCGACATCTTAAATTGAAGCGAAGGTGGTTTCTAAGACGTGTGCGTTTTTGATGTAATCGTTCCAAAAGGCGGAAGTCCTTCGTTCCTTGTTGTCCGTATTTTTCTTTAAACATCTTTGTTGTGTTCTTGCTGTGTTTAGTTTCAAATTCCAGCTTTCAGTTCATTTTAAAACACAGAAAAGGTTTACTTACCTGCAATGTTACGTTTGCGGCTGCAAACATCATCAGGCTGACGCAGATGGTGGCGTCACTTCCTTCGTTTATTTGCGGGCAGCAGAGGACGTTGTCGCCCTCTGCTGCCCGCTCTCCCCTCTCTGCTTTAAAAACCTGCGGATACCCGATATGGGCAATAAACAAAGGAAAGCAACAAACAACAACAGAAAAAAAAACAACCAAAGCAAAGAACCAGAAACCCAGAAAGACAAGAACAAAACCAGTGATAACCTTACTATACATCAAATGCATAATAGAAAAAATAAGAGCAACAATGAAAAAACACAACATAAACACACCAACGAAACCATACACAACAGTTAGAAACAGACTAGTACACCCAAAAGACAAGATACCAGCTGGACTTAAATGTGGAGTCATTTATGAAATCCCATGCAAACTCTGCAATAAAACATACATAGGAGAAACCGGACGCCAACTCAACACACGAACAATAGAACATAGAAAGGAGTGCGAGAAAGAGGCAAGTAGAAAACACACAAGAGCAGCAAAACAAGAAGCAGAAAGCACAATAAAGAAGTCAACCGTAACAGATCACTGCACAAGAGAAAACCATATAATGGACTGGGACAACACAAGGATCATAAACACCGAACAACAGAAATACAAAAGATGGATTAAAGAAGCTATCGAGATAAGGAGACGTGGATGTGGGACTATGAACAGAGACGATGGAGTTTACTCGTTGGATCGCGCATGGGACTGCATCATCGGAGAGGGGAGAGCGGGCAGCAGAGGGCAACAACGTCTTCTGCTGCCCGTGGATAAACGAACACCACCATCGGCGTCAGAATGATGATGTTTGCAGCCGCAAACGAAACGTTGCAGGTAAATAAACCTTTTCTGTGTTTTTAAAAAGAACTGTAAGATGGAATTGCTCCAGAACTCTTCAACTTTTTCCAGAGATGGTAGTTCTTTGATTTCTATCTGTTTCTTGTCAAGTTCTCTGTAGAACTTCTTTGGGTCAACTTTGAAAACATGGTTGTGTCTGAAGTGTTTACTTCTCTTTTCATATCTTCTGATTCTTTGTGCCTTGGCCTGTATCTGTTGTTTGAGCTTTTCTTTTGCTTCCACAATGTCAGTTGTGTCCTGGATGTCATACCTCTTCTTCATTTGCCTCTCTTTTCTTTTATTAGTAATGTTACCTTTTTCAATTTCTGTGAGTAGATCTTTTCTCTTTTTGAGATTGTCCTTCTCGATGTCTGCCTTCCATTTGGGCTGTTTTCTTTTTCCTTGTTTTTTTATTTTCTTGGCACAACTCAGGTCTGTGATTACTGTAGCTGCTGCATAACATATTTCATTAAATTATGTGAGGTCCATTGATATAGAGTAGTCTTGTTTGGTGTCTTGTATTGCTCTGTTGGCTAGGCTGATGGGGTTCTTTATATTTTTGTTGCTATATATCTTAGGCAGCTTGTCTCGATTCTCCAGCCCTTGGAGCTTTGCTTCCATCCATTTCTGGAGTATGCTGTCTCAGACTTTTTCAAAGTCTGTGTGTTTTTCATATGTTCTGTTGGTACCCTCTTCAGTCACTCCATCTACTTCTTGCTGTTGAGGTTGGTCTCCTTCATTCCTGATTTTATATTCCTGTTCTTCATGTCTGCCGTCTTCCACTGTGTTTTTATTTTCTTCTACAGTAAGTCTGACCTTTCTCCTAATAGCTTCCACCTCTGCATCTGTAAGTCTTTTCTGTTTGATGATGTCCCTTCTTACATTGGACAGTTTGTTGGGGTCTATGTTGGGTCTTGATGTGGGGTTTGCATTTCTCCATAGAGTAAAGGTTTGTTTAGTGTTGCTCTCTCCTGATGGTTTTAGTTGAGCTGTGATGTACGCTTCCATAACTTGTTTATACTCCTCCCTAGTCCATTTCTTCCTTTTACTTTCGTTTTCATTTGTGGTAAGTTTTACATCATGGGCGGCTGGTTGAAGGATAACTTCGCACAGCCGGTCCACAGATGCCTGGGGGTGGGTGGAGTTTGTTCCAGTAGCACACTTTTCGCCATCAGCCTGGTCCCCTGCTGAATGGCGCGCTCATTGTTGAACCGCGTGACAAGCGATGCGGTATGGTTTTCTGATTGTTTGACTCATCATAGTGAGATGTTGTCAGAGCCCAATTAGCCGAGACATGACTGGATTGTCATGCTTACGTTGCCCGTCCTGCACGATGTGGAGGTGGGGGTTGAACTTTGCAGGACTTATTATTATTATTATTATTATTATTATTATTATTATTATTAATCAAGTAGCATAATTTTCATCTTTTCATGTTTACAAAATTAAAAGTAAAATTTTAAATCAAAACCATTAAGCCCTAGTGTCCCCCAGGTGGGGGACCCTGTGACGTTAGTCCCTTAACAGGCCCAAACCAACCCTGACACTACAGAAGAAATAGTAATATTTCCCATCAAATTAATCAGCAAACCAAGCCCTACAAGGCTATCTAAACTATTTTTACCATTAAATTGCATTTTTTACCATTTTTTGAGGAATAGGCTTCAAAATAGGCCTAGGGCTTAAGGAAAAGGCCAAGCAGTGCTCACTGCAGAACACATGGGTGGGGCTGACTCTGGTGCAGCTCCCCCTTTGTGGTCCTGCAGCGAGCACTCTCTCGAAACAGTTGATGGTCTGTTTCCCCACAGTTAAAAAAGACATTCACGTCTTGCATGAAGAGTCAAAGCTCAAGTGTGTGACATTTCAAACACGTCAAAATAACAAAAACTAACTGAAATTCTTGTTTTGGGTCAGAGAAAATATTTGTTTACAAAGGGTTAAAATGTTAAGTTGTCCTTTGACATTGCAAGTTGAGCCATGCACCATGCACCATGCACGTTATCAAATCAATTTCCCAAATCCATCATAGCCTTGAAATAACTAAAGTGTACCATACTGAATTTAAAACAAAACCAAAGCATATTTCACCCTTAGAATACAGTATCAAAATTTAATACTATATATATATATATATATATATATATATATATATATATATAAAGATAAAGATAAAAACATTTAAATAAAATTCTATTCTAACAGATTGATGATGCAACATAGAGTCCATGCTTTTTTCTTTTTTTTTTTTTTTTTTTTTTTGCTTTTGGAGCATGCATTCTTACTCTGGTTCTAACAATATTATTATTGTTTGGTTATTTTTTTCAGGTCTTGGTGAGATTTATGTACTCTGTCAGTAAAGGCTACAGGAGGATCACGTACCACAATTGGAGACACGGATTTAACGTTGGACAGACCATGTTCACCCTGCTTATGGTTACTCACATCACTTTGACTCCCTCCTCCTTCTCCCTTCATTCTCCTTTTCTCTCAACGTTTTTACCAGTCCTTCACCTCGTGCTTTACCTCCTCCTCTTCTGCTAGGTTTTCATTTAAACCATTGCTCATTTTTTCTCTCTGATTCAACGTGATAAAAATCTCCTCTACTTCCCACCCCCTGTATCATTCTTCAGAATGTAATGCAAACAGCACGCATGATTTAATGTGTGTCTGTGCTTTGGAGCAAGAGAAAATAGTAAATGTTAGAAGAAATGAAGCGTCTGTAAATTACTCGGTGTTGTCATTATTGTCTACTCACAGAACCAATAGAAAAGACCTCATTTGTAATTGTATTGGTTTATGTTGTGTTACCTAGTCCTGGATGGGTATATTCACATCTTCTCCTCTCACGCTGACTGTCTTTCTCAGACAGGTGATCTGAAGCGTTACTACACTGACCTGGAGTGCATGGCCATGGTGACTGCTGGCTTCTGTCATGACATTGATCACAGAGGAACCAACAACCTCTACCAGATGAAGTAAGAGAAAACAGAAACAGAAACGACAGTAAAGAAACATCATGGTGGTGTTCATTACCTGAAGAGTGACATAAATTACTTTGGATTTGATCTTATACACCTATAGGTTCACCTTTTCAATAAAAAAAGGAAAAGCAAGAACTACTAGATAAATTGCAAATAAATAAATAAATAAAATGATGGCTGAAGCTGCGTTAGAACTGAAGTGAAGCTGGAACTGAGCAAAAATGTCCTTAAAGTTAGTCCCCGCCCACTTGCTTACTATGTCTACCAGTGTTCCATCTCTTTTTTGTTTAGGAACAAGAAACAGCAAAAACCTTTACCATTTTTAATGCTGCCAGTAGAAAAAAAAGCCTTCTGCTAATCATTTAGGATAGTGCAGGTGAACAGGTACTACTGTCAAAGTAGAAGAAGAAGACAACCTTTTATATTGCACCTCTCAAGATAAAAACCACAAGGCACTTCACAAAAACAAAAAATATATAAAGTATAAAAATATTTCTAAAATTGTTAAAAAATATGTTTAAAAGGAGAAAAGAAAAATAATTAGGGAAAGGAAGAGATAAAATGAATAGGATAGAGGGAAATCAATGGATCCCAGGAAAGGTGCAATAAGAACATAATAAGGAGACGGGGGTGGTGAAGGTCACACCAAAGTCAGTCTGAACAAGTGAGTCTTCAGCTGCTTTTTAAAGGAGACCACTGAGTCCACTGATCTCAGGCTCAGGGGGATAGAGCTCCAGAGTCTGGGGGCCACGGCAGCAAATGATCTGTCACCTTTGGTCTTTAGCCTGGTGTGCTGCACAACCAGTAGGCTTTGATCACTGGACCTCAGGGACCTGCTGGGGGTGTAGGGACTGAGACGATCACCAACATATGATGGTGCTTGTCCATGTAAGGTCCTATAGACCAGAACCAGGATCTTGAAGGGAACCCTGAAGTTAACTAGCAGCCAGTGAAGCTGGAGGAGAAGCGGGGTGATGTGGGTGTGTTTGGAGGACTTGGTCAGAAGACGGTTCAGGGAGGTTTTGCTCAGACGCATGAGGAGATGGAGGTGCGGATAACAGTCTCAAGTTCAGAGTGGTACAGAATGGGACTCAGCTTAGCAATGTTCCTGAGATGGAAGCAACAGGTGATATTTTATTTTATCAGCTAACATGGAGCAGTTTATTATTAAATTAACACGAGTCAACACAGAAAACTTATCTGGATTGTTTTTCTTTAAGATGGTTAAACTATTAAGTTGCAGACTACAGCAATCTATGAAATTAAGTCAAATAAAAAATAATACCAACAAGCGGCCAGAAAATATACAGGCGTACCCAAAGCTATAATGACCCAGTTTCTTCATCAGCGTCTCTGAGCCTTTTTGATCAATAGCTGTTGCTCCCTCTGTGCTGCATACAGACGGCCTGACATCAGCTCTTTAGGTGAAAATATTGCGACATGTTAGGAGCATCAGTTATTTGTTACTGACCGGGTACACCTCCAGCTGCACAGGTCCACCTGCTGATGGATGAGCTAATGACTTACCATTAGCAGTGGACACACCAGGCCAGACCCCCTGGGGTTTAACATGCATGATTTATCACATCAAAACCTCCCATCAGGCTGTGTGTTTGTGTGTTTCCAGGTCTGGTAATCCCCTCGCAAAGCTTCATGGCTCCTCTATCCTGGAGAGACACCATCTGGAGTTTGGCAAGACTTTGCTGAGGGATGAGGTGGGTTGAGCTACGAACACACAGGCAGGGCAGGGCACAGCAAGGGCAGTTGTGATGCAAGGCAGCATCACAGAGAAATATGAGCAGTTAATTTTACCAGCAAGTCTAAAAATATTTGTTCAGTATTTACTGATCAAGTACATTTTTCATCTTTGACCTAAAAAACCCAACCTCTGTTAATTTTCTTTGCCGTTTATGAAAATATTTGTGCTTAAACTCTTTACAAAACGCTTCCTAAAAGTACTTAATTTAATGCTTTCTTTATGTTTAAAATAAAAGGATGTGTCCCTTTTGATTGCTCACCTTCTCCTCAGTCGAACTGCTTTCTTAAAGTGTAACTCCAAGTGACATTTTGTCTTTTTTCTTGTGCTTCAGGCATTAAACATTTATCAGAATCTGAACCGTCGTCAGCACGACATCGTCATCCACCTCATGGACATTGCAATAATTGCCACCGACTTGGCTCTCTACTTCAAGTCAGTATAACAAAAATGGTTTCAGTCTTTTTTTGATTCAACAATCTTGTTCTAAAATGTGAGGTTGGAACATTGAAACAAGCAGGCAGAAACAAACAAACAAAATAAAAACTTCTGATAGATCCCATGAACACATCAGCTCAAACATCCAGAGACAGAAATCTTAAAGTAATCCAAGTAATCAGGACCAAGAACCAGAATCTTAGTTGACTTTTGGGAAACATTGATTGATATATATATATATATATATATATATATATATATATATATATATATATATATATATATATATATATAACAAGATTCTCAATTTTGACAATCAGAGATGACACATATCTTTATACTGCTACTAACTGGGTAAACCAGGAGGTGGCAGTAATGCAGTTTGATTGATGCCAGCTGCAGTTAGATGCCAAAGAAGAAGAAGGAAAGCGAGTTGATAGAGAATGAAGAATAGCTGCGATGTGTGATGGAAATTTGTAACAAAGAAAAAGAACAACAAAAAAAAAAACTAGGAACACAGCTACGGACTACCAAAATTACCCAAAGTGGAACTCTAAATATTGAGAGAAAGATTTGAGATTTCATATAAGAACGCTGCTTCTTGAACTTTTATTTAACTCTCTGAATGGCAAACATTAGACATAATCCCGCAAGTGCTGCTGAGCGCTAATGCTACAACTCCAAACTGCATTCAATAAAAAAATATTGACCGAAACATAATTCAAACTTATGTGCTCAAACAATTGCTCACAGTGCTCATGTAACATTTACTCTAAGTATATTTTCTTTTCTTTTCATTTTTTATTTTTTTACTTTTAGGTTATTATTTGCAAAATGTAAGGATCTGCTCCACACTCTTCCACATAAGTACTGCCTCCGCTTTTCTTTGCCTTTAGCTCGGCTCATTCCCTTTGCAGCTGTGTCATGTTGTTGTGGACCTTGCCCGGCTTTGGAAAACCAATTAAAAAAGTCTTCTGTGATATCCGAGCTGGGTGTCTAGAGTGATTTGTACAACCCCCAATAGTGGTGCTTAGTTCCTTTTTTGGGAAACAAAACTACAACTTTGTGACGAGCAAAGTGAGTCAGATCCATGGACACCCATGTAAAATGCATGCTTGCTTGTCTAGAGCTAACTCCCAGAATGCATTGTGTTACATCAATCTATTTTTAGCTATTGTAAAACTAACGGTGTTGTCCAGAGCTCAGCACAAACAGGTTTCCAAACTTTTCAACAAATAAAAAATAATGTTGGATTTATTATCTATTAAGTCTGTGAAGCAAATAATTCAAGTAAGGTTTTCTTCACATTTTATCTGCACAAAGATACAAACAGCAGAGAAAAAACTAAACCAAGCACAATACCTGGGATCATCAGGAGGGCCAATGTTATCTCCTGCAACAGCATTTGAAAGTTTTACAGCTGACTGGAAGAAAATAGTATGTCATAGTTTAAGCTCCTCACTCTTCATTACAATTTTGTAGCATCACGGTTTGTTAAAATGTGAATCTGTTTTGTTTTTTAATCAACGGGTCTGTCAGAAATATCTAAATCTGAGTTGCCTTAAGCAAACCTTTCAAAGTTATTTAAAGTTTATTATTGCTTTTCAAATTTTTGTTTCAAAATACCCAATGATTTAACCATTTTAAAGTAATAATATTTACCTTTTTATCTAAACACCTCGGTTATTTGTTCGTGCATTAATATTTAGAAATTTGTGCTTTAATGTTTGTTTCTCTGCAGGAAGAGGACAATGTTCCAGAAGATTGTGGACCAGTCTAAGACCTACGAGAACTGGAACGACTGGACTAAATACATGATGCTCGAGACCACTCGCAAAGAGATAGTGATGTAGGTAGAAATGCACACAGCTTCCAAAGCAGAGTCAGAAACAGATAACTCAGTCGCGTGCTGCGTTCTCAGGGCCATGATGATGACAGCCTGCGATCTTTCCGCCATTGCCAAACCATGGGAGATCCAGAGTAAGGTATATGTCCACATAAAAACAAGGTCTCATAGGTATTCTAGTCTTACGTGTGTATATTTATAGAAATAACACACACACACACACACACACACACACACACACACACACACACTCTCACACACACGTAGAGGCCCTGTGAAACGCAAAGATAAAGAAGGCAGCAAATAGTATTTTGTCATTTAAATTTTTATCTGCAGTGCTCAGCAGAGGATTTTGATGGCCTCATGCATCAAAACCACCCTGCTCCTTTTTTATTCTCTTCATCACCACCTGACTCAGCATCTTATTCTAGTGAAATGTGTAATGAATACATTATCATCAAGTCTATAAGCATTCCTATATCGACATTAACAGCAAGCATGTCTGCCTGCTCAACACCCAGATAGGTGAGCATTTATTACTGCCGAGCTCCCTGTCCGATCTCCATGAGACCGTGTGTGTGTGTGTGTGTGTGTGTGTGTGTGTGTGTGTGTGTGTGTGTGTGTGTATGTGTGTGTGTGTGTGTGTGTGATAAAACCTCCGTAATTTTGGGGTTTCCATCCAGCTAATGTCTATAAGAGTGGGAGTGGGGGCTCCATGGCAGAGAATGGAGGCTTCCCCATTGGTGTGTATGTTGACTACTTTTGGGGAAGCCCATCACACTTTAAGGTGAGCTGGGCCCCCTTTAGCTCCCCCATATTCTGAACCCTGTCTTAAACACAATCAAGTGCAGAGTGAAATGTTACAACCGAGAGTTTAAACAGATTGGGGATATTTCCCAGTCTAGAATAAAACCTTGGGGTCCTGCCGGAGGAGCTGGTGGACAAGGCCGGGGAGAGGACGGCCTGGAGCTCCCTAATTGGGATGCTGCCCCCGCGACCCGGACCCGGATAAGCGGAGGAAGACGAAGACGAAGACGAATAAAACACATTTGGTGATGTTGTTGAGCAGAAATGTGATATCAGAACTTAATTTAGTCCTAATGGTTCCTACTGCGAACCAGATGCTTATTAACGTTCAACATTTTGATAAAATAGATCAAAACCTGCATAAGAATCACCCTCACGGGGTTTAATAACTGAGGGCGGGGTCTGTGATGCACCCAGGGAAACACTAGAGATACTCTGTTCTGAGTGAGATACACTGCTGACATTTTAATGGGCAATTCTTTCTACTTTTTTGTCCAGTTCTGGAAGAAAAGCACATGGAGTCGCTGTGCCGCCATCGAGGCAGTTGTTCTCTCAAAACTGACTTGATGACTAACTCCTTCAAAACGGAGCTTCTCTATTCTGAATAGAGAATTAGCACATTATTAACCTGATCTCACACTGCTCCGTTTTTGGCTTGTGAGGGAGGACAAAACAGGCTTTCATTTGATCGAGCCACAAAGCTTGAAACTCATGTGATTCATCAATACCACTCATTTGTGGGACATTATAATAGCTTTATAGGATGACGGATGTAAGGAATCTGTTGTAACCTATTCTCTATAGGAGTTTTTTTTTTTACATTGCAGTGCATAAATCTTAGGTTTCTGGATTGAATTGAGGTTTCATCTTAAATCTCGGATTGTTCTCTAGGTGGCACTCTCTGTGGCTGCTGAGTTCTGGGAGCAGGGTGACCTGGAGAGGACGGTTCTGGAGCAGCAACCCATCGTAAGATCTCTACAAGAATCCAGAATAACTTATTAAAACTCATGTTGCTCATTAAAATTATTCCTAAAATAGAGTTCATTTAGTTTGTATTGTGACGAATAAAAACCCTCTGTTTCTGCAAACCAGTTCTACAATTACATTTTTTTTAAATATTAAATACCAGTAATAAAGTCTCTCTGGGCTTTCAATTTAGGATCTTGAGAAGAAAAGTACATAACGAGTACATAGAACAAGAGGCAGAGACGTAGGTGGAAGACGAAATGAAAAAACAGATGAAATTCCCTGGGGTGGTAGTGTTGAGCAGAGCACAAGTCATTATGTGGAGCACTGATTCAGAAAGATCGGTCGCTGTGGCCTTGACCCGGCTGACCATTCCCTCCCTGCCGCCCTGCATCTGGCTTCATCTCATTCCCTCACGTCCTTGAGACACTCGAAGTGCAAGAGGATTGTCCTGCACTTTTTTCACCTCTGAATTTAATCGTGTCTTTCAGCAGGGAAAACTTTTCATTTTGATCAGTTGTGCTTTTTCAGCGGTGGAATCTGTGACTCACTGCAGAGAGGTTGTCGAGGCATGTGGGTGGGCAGTTTCACTTGTGGACAGCATGAGTTTTTCATAGAAGCCCATAGTCGAGTGTGTTGTTCGTACGTGTTCTAGGTACTGGTTGAATGCACCTTCAAAACTATGTTGAATTTCTTTTACATTTTCCTTTACTGGAAAACAGACTAAATCTAGATTTAGAGTTTAGTTTTTAACAGAAAATCACACAAAAGCTGAACATGAACTGATATTTTGAAATGTGTACAGATTCTTCATGGAGTTCTGAATATTTTTGTTTGTTTTTGTTTCCATCTTTGATTTACATTGAGAATTGCAAATATTTTTTTCTCCGTACATTTTTTAGGGGTACTGCCCACACTTTCTACAGTCATGCATTCTACAAATGTAGAATCCCCACACTGTAAAGGTGGCTAGGGCTTTCACGCCTTACAGAAAGTTATCGGCTAAACACAAACTTCCAATTGTTTTATTCTGGATTTAGAATACGTAAAGATTAGCTGCTTCTGTAGCTGCAGCCAGGATTATATTTTAGCTTCACAGTAATCAACAGATATGTAGAGATTTAGTAATTTGCTTTAACGATAACTCTTCTTTTTTTTAGCCCATGATGGACAGAAACAAAGCAGATGAGCTGCCGAAGCTACAGTGTGGTTTCATCGACTTTGTCTGCACTTTTGTGTACAAGGTCAGACTTAAACTAGTCAAACTTAAACCAAACAGCAGTTTTAAAGATTTGCCATTAATAATGTGCTTTAATAATTAAATTATTGCAGGCTTTTTGCATCCTCTGAAATTTTTAATTGCAATTTAATTATTGTTCACCGTTTAGACACAGGAAACCACATTTATTTCTTGTTTTATTTTCCTCCCCTCAGGAGTTTAGCCGTTTCCACCAAGAGATCACCCCCATGCTGGATCGTCTCTTGAACAACAGGAAAGAGTGGAATGCCTTGAAGGAGCAGCATGAGGCCAAACTGGCAACCATTGAAGCAGCCAAGAAAGCCAAAGAGGAGGCTGCTCAGAAAGCTGCAGCAGCCAAACAAGGTAGGAGGCTTTCAGATCAACACACACACACACACACACACACACACACACACACACACACACACACACACACACACACACACACACACACACACACACACAAGAAATAAATGGCACATGAAGTTATTTTTCTTCTCTTTTTCTGATATAAATGTCAAATGTTTGAGATACCTCTGAGTGAAAATGTCTCGGCTGTAACCAGAACATGTAATACAGCTCACCTCATATCATAAAAGTAATTTGTTTTCTTTCTTTCCCCTTCTTGTTTTTTCCCCTCCTCCTAGCAGCAAGTGCATCCCAGTCAAAGACTTGTGTTCTCAGTTAGAGGTACCACGGGAGAACCCTCTACGCTCGCTGCATGATTGTGGTCGATAGCATGGAGTCTTTTTAATCTTTGGTGAGAGTTTTGGGCTCACACCTGAAAAATCCATCTTCCTGAAAGGTCAATTCTTCTTTCAGTAACTTGTCTCTGTCAGGTGCAAATAGAAACTTTTCAAATCAGCTTATTTGTCTCTACCGCTTTCCCTCTGCACCATTTCTTCCCTTGTGGGTTGTTTTCTCTTTATCTGCACAGAGCTTTGTCGTGTGTTCAGGCATTTTTTGAGGATCACAGCATCTGCGAGTCAGCTAGCAAAAAGTGTTTTGCACTTCTAAAAATCCCCCACAAAGGGAAAGAAACAGATCTCTAAAGCAGACTTTTCTGTTTACCTATAATCTAATGCAGTGCTTCATTATGAGCTTGATAGAGTTGATTATGGAGCTGTAATGCCACTAACTGACTCAACAACATAGAGAAAAGTGCTCCTGAAGTCCAGTTCAAATGTTTGTTTGAATTACTTTCACGCTGTTGTATTTGCTGTGTGGACGTGGTTTTCTTATTTATTTGTTTACAACCTGCAAAAAATAAAATAAAATGAAAATACAGAATCGCTTGTGACAAGGAATCCAACCAAGAGCATTATTCAAATTTTCAGTTTACTGCAATAATCTTTGAAGTCTGCATCTTTAAATGTTCTTATAGGACTTTGGATTTTTTTGACATTGTACTGCACTGTACAGATATGATGCATCATGTAGTAAATATGCATTTTATCCACATTGAATGTATGCAAAATGAGAATGTAAAGCCATTTTCAAGTTGAGAATAATCGTCTGTAGTGGCTTTGAGTTCATGACAGCTGTTTGGTCTGCTGCTGAGACAACAGCTTGTTGAGTAAAATACACCCAACTGCAGAGATTTGATGTTTTGGATCTTTTTGTATGTTAGAATATGGCAGCAAATGTTTTACTTTGTTTAGCACAAAGAGCTCATTTGTCGGTCGCAAATAATATTTCTACTCCTACAGATAACTCCCAACCAAGGGGCCATTGTGGTCTTTTTTTTTTTTTTTTGAAGCCAAAAAGTGGCTAAAATTGCAGTTCCACCCTCATCCACTAGGCGCTGGTACCAGAAGTGAGCAAATCCTCATGACTCCCATGTTAAAAATGCCAATTTCACAGCAGAAATAAACATGATTATAGCCTGGTCACAAAATCATATTTTAGGTTTAATAGATCTAGTTTACATTCATGACAATTCTAAGGGGAGTGAATATTTTTGTAACTTTTCTGTTTAAGTGTAATTAAATGCTTAAAGTTCTGAATAATTAATGAGCATCAGAGCCACTTGACTTTAGATCTAGCTCTGGGGAGAGGCCTCAGACTCATGTTAAAAGATGTTTGGTCATTTTGACTCTCTGAACTTTAGTTGTGTTCTCTGTGTGTTGGTGTTTGGATGTTAATCATGGAATTATTTGGACAAAGAGGGCAAGCTGTGGTTATTAACTGCACTAACAGACCATCCAAGCAGTTTCTGCTTCTTTTTTATCAGTAAGTAAAACTATATTTCTGTACTTTATTTTGCTGGTTGAATGGGGGGAAATGCTGTGTCATTTAACTGTTTGGTCAAACATGTTAGTGGGGCTGGATAAGAAACTTGAGTGGATGCCCGTCTTCTGTCTCTTGTCCAGTGTTGGGAACGTTACTTTAAAAAAGTAATTAGTTATAGTTACTGATTACTTTGTCAAAAAAGTAACTCAGTTACTAACTGAGTTACAAGATCATAAAAGTAACTAATTACCAACAAAAATAACTAATTAGTTACTTTTTTCATTAAAGAATGCAAGAATTACTACAATAGTGAAATATAAATGAGTAATGACTGGAGCATAATAAAATGTCCAAATGTTTTTATAAACCTGAATAATTTAAATAAATAAGCACTTAACAGGAGGAACTACTAACAGGAACATTACACTTATCTAGACTATTAAAATGTCACTGTGTGATATTTAACAAGACCCCAATCAGCTAAAATTTAAAATTGCAAATAGAAACACCTGTAAAGGTTCCCGAGCCTTTAAATGGTATCTCGGTCTAGTTAAATTACAGAAATAAATGTAATTTTGCACAGTATTCTAATTTTTCCAGCTTCACATAATTGTGTGTTTTTAGCAGCATTTCTGTTGCTGCTAATCTAGTAATGGTTAAATAAATAATTAAAATAGTTTAAAATGACACTAGAAGAGGCACAAGCCTGATGGAGGACTTACATTTACTAACGTGGGTCAGACCCAACCACAGAAGAGCTGAAGCTGGGTGGTAAACACACGCAGGTAGTTCTAATAACACCTGAGCTCCATGCCGTCTGAGACCGATGCATCAGTGTTACAGCGGGACTAAAGACATGATCAGGAACAGGTTACAGCTGGATGATCTAGGAAGGTAGAAAATAAGGACGTCTGAGTGGTGAACAGGTGAGCGGACCTTCGGGACGTCCCGCTGTCACGCCAAGAAGGGATGAGCTTCAGTCAAATACAGTAGATATTCAGACGTAGATACCGTAAATCCTCTAATACAGGCCGGTATTGAATTAAAGGCCGGGTCTCCAATTATGGCCGGTGTCGGAGTCGGTGGAGGTGAATAAAGGCCGGTCTCTTATTGTGGCCGGGTGGAATGTGGTAACAAGCAAGTACGGGGGCGGTTGTGTCATCGTCTCACTTTTGATTTGCCAGTGATAGACCGCGAGGGTAACTTTGTGCAGAGACAAGAGGAGGCTGTGCCAGAGGCGATCGTTCATGTGGGTTAATTTCCTTTAAAGATTTCTGTCTTTTATTTGCTCCTGATGTGTTTCGCTGCATGCTGTGGAGCGGGGCGCATCACCTTGTCCTCCGGTGACGCACCGATCACGTGGCCACCAAGCAGCGAGCACTCTGCTGTTTTTGCGGTCGGTAGATCTGCCTCCTGAGCACGGCCACAGTAACAATTAGGTGTCGCCACATTTAACACGCGATCGTTCATGTCTGTTCATTTCCTTTGATGTTTTCTGTCTTTTATTTGCGCCTGATGCGTTTGGCTGTGGAGCAGGGCGCATCACCTTGTCTTCCAGTGATGCACCGATCACGCGGCCACCAAGCAGCGTGCACTCCGCTGTTTTTGCGGTCGGTAGATCTTTTAGAAGTACAGTTCAAAGGTAACTCATAAGGTGAATATATATGAACCCAGGTAGCAGTTTTTCTTTAGGATTGAGAGGAGATGCAGGAAGATAATAAACAGACAGGACAGAAAAATAGTCAAATAAAAACAAGTTAGTTTTTGTACCTGGTGGTTGCAACAAACAGACACCATTGAAGGTAATCAGAAGTGAGGAACAGAAAATGAAATGATTATTTTAATGTTTAGAGCAGCAGGAACTCCCAAGAGGCTGCAGGCGCATCAGTGAGTTTGCGGCCGCTGCACAGGGGGAGGGGGGAGAGGGCTGAAGCAGAAACTACCGTTGTTAAAAGAAATGTGTTTAACTTTGGAAATGTGGGCGCAATTTTAATTGTCAAAAACTCCAGCGAACCATTACTTCATTTTGCTCAAATAGAAATAGAGGCCTGCCTCTAATACTGGCCCTCCTTCCAATAAAGGCCTGGAGCTTGATGAGCTTCAGTCTAATACAGGCCCGGGCCTGTATTAGAGGATTTACGGTATTATCACGTCTTCCTCGTTCTTCACCGCCGTGATGCTCTTGGATGAAAACATCTGCCGCTTTAGCTCCTGATCAGCTGATGACAGCTTCAACACACCGCGCTGCTTAACGCACGCATTTCCTTATCAGTAAAAGAAACAACGTTTTGGTAAAAGAAGACGTAATTAATTAGTTTGCTCGTTACTGAAAGAAATATGTTTTATTAACGTGGTTATTTTATACGGAGTTATTCCCATCACTGCTTTGTTGTGTCTATAGCATGCATTGATTGAGACGGTGAGGGTCTCCGCCCACCCGGCCAATCATCATCGTGTTTGTAAGCGCGTTACCGACACCTCTCTCTCCCTGGCTGCAGCTGAAGTGTGGCGGTCAGAAAGCCTCACACTGTTGCTCAACATTCGACAAGCACATAGTAACGCACAACCTTCCGTACCCAGTAACGGTAACGGCGTTGCAACGGCGGGAAAAGTAATTAATTAGATTATTCCGCTACCTATAAAAGAACGCCGTTAGAAACGCCGTTATACTTAAACGGCATTACTCCCAACACTGCTCTTGTCCAAGAAACGTTGCTCGAACAGGCAGCTTGCTGTTGTTCCCGTTTGGGCAGCCGACAAGCAGACCGGCTCTGATGCCATGCTGCAGTCTTGCTGGTCATTTGTGGATTTCTGAGGGAGATCACAGAAACATAGCAGCTTTTTTAGTTGATGCTGCTTACTTTTGAGTTACTCAACCTCATTTTTCACACTTATAGTTTGCTGTTAGGTTGAATGGGGAAATTCAGTGTTTACTGCTTGGTCTAAGATGGTTTGAAATCAGTTGAAATATAATGTGTTGGTGTGGCTGCTGGGTATCTGACCGAAGATAGCGGAGGCTGTGCTTCGCTGGGCCACCGCGGTGAAAGATCCACGAGTCCACCGTTGTTGATGTTCTAGTCTCCAGTCGAGAGCGCGACAGAGCCATGAGCCAAGTTAACGCTGCCAGAGCCACGTATGTTGACAACGACGGACTCACAGATCTTGCACCACGGTGGACCAGCAAAGCCTGATATCCTTGGTCTACCATGTTTTTCTTGCTGAAAACGCCCAGAAAAACCCTATTAGCTTTGGGTTAGCATGTAGCTAACATCCCACTGATCTCTGACCGTGGAGAATGAGCTGATCTGAAAGGCCAGGGCTCCCAGTCGCAGTGGTCTGACTCTGCTTGTAATTTAACAGTCCCAGTCCATATTAGATCTCCATGGGTGACCAGCATGATTACAGCCTTGCACTGAAGCCGGTCAGCCATGCAGGTGGGCTGAGAATAAGATTTCTCTTTAAGTGCGGTTTATCTAGTAAACATCGGTGTGATCTTCTAGCTTCTTGACCTTTGTTTGGCGACATGAGCGCCACTTCCGCATTCCCGCCAGGCCGTGTTGGGACGCGGTTCATCCGTCCAAGTTTTTTAAGGTCGGTTTATCCTCATTCCTCAGTGGTTTCTCCTCCTGTTCCCTCTATAAGTGGTTTTTATAAACACCATGGATCTAACCCTGCTAATTTACGTCCACTAACTCCAGCTGTTTCTGTAGTTTCTGATTCCTCCACCTCACTCAGCATAGCTCTATTAAATACCCGCTCTGTTAACAATAAGTCCTTCCTGCTCAATGATTTAATTCTCTCTAAAAACCTGGATTTTCTGTTTCTGACAGAAGTTTGGCAGCAAACATCTGATTATTCTGCTCTGATTGAACTCTGCCCGAGTGGTTATTCTTTTCTTAGCCAGCCCCCGGGTTCTGGTCGTGGTGGAGGCCTAGCTGTTGTTTTCAGAGACCATCTTCCATGTAGCTCTACAACCTCTGGTCACTTTGCTTCCTTTGAACTGCAGCTGATTAAAGTCGGGCGTAAGGACCCGTTCTACTGTGCTGTGGTCAATCGTC